TATGAAATTTTTGATGACTACCCAGAATATCTTGATGCGGTCCTGTAATGTCTCCTGCGCCTAAACACTCACTCACGAGCAATATGCGTGTATTTGTTTGGGTTTAGTTTCTTTCTTCAGCGCCTAGAGACTAGTAGTCAAAGAAGTTCTATACGATAATGACACACTTCCTTGCCATGATATGTAATGTACTATCTTCCAGCAAATGATGCAGTTTTCTTTAAAATCAGTGATAGCTTGATTGAAATCGCATTTCCTCTTTGCACATACGAGACCCTTTGAAGTCGTATCAACTGCGATTGTTTCTGGTTTTCTCGGGAATTTCACCGCCTGTGAAACGGATGAGGTCATAAATGAGCAGGAGTGAGGCGTGAGGAGTGGCAACGGTGGGATCCGAAAACCGTTTGGCTTCAGCAGGGGACGTTCATTTCGCGCATAACTGGAAAGCGATAACATCGTTTACCTCGCGAGGTCAAAGCGGACCTCGACGTATTTGAACACATTTTCTAACCGACTATCACGAACAGGGGCGACGGGAAATGGTATGCGGTATTCCGAGCTGAGGTTATTGAGCACTGGAAGTATATTTGTAGTACGTGAGATGTTAATGTCTTAAGATCAGTGTCTAGTAAATTGACTCGGATTTTATCGTGACATACAGTACGATCTACATTTGGTGAAAGACATTACTTTGCACTCCAGAGTGTTAGACTAATATCGTCGGCTGAGCTGGAAAGAAGAGAACTTGTAATAACAGAACCACAATTTTCGAAAACGAGAAAGTAGAATCCTTGTGAGAAAGTGTGCGCGGTTTTGTTCGCTGCGAAACGATGTCATATTCTGAAAGCTGTTGGTATTTATCGGACAAGTATGTGAATGAATCGTTTTTCGGCAAAATAACACGTTCCTCGGTTCCTCACGTCACTAAACGCTTCATCACACAGATAGCTTCGTCTTTACAGATAAGAATAAAGTACAACGACGAGACTTTCACACCTTTCCTCGCGTTAAAGATTCGGGGAATGACAAATCTAGCAGCCTCGCGTCCACTTTCCCTCAGTTCATTCTATACTCTCGTATCAAGAATCAACCCAGAAAAGTTTAACTGATTTGATGCAGTTTTATGCTTTCAAAATAGAGAAGAGACACAAGATACAGTAATGTACTTCAACTAACTAGAAGGAACCAAGCGCTTTTAATGAATAACCAAGCTTTGCCATGAAGTTATACATTTTGGCTCGTCTGAGATTAGATCAGTTGACATAGATTAAATTTGGATCCTGCTTTGTGGGTGTCTTGCTGTGAAATTATGATATTTCCTATCTCGGCGATGAAGGTTAAGTCAGTATAAAAAAGACGTACTGTAGCCTGGAAGAAGGAACGGCAGGACTTCTGCTTCTTATTTTCCACCAAAACATCGACTCCATTGCTTATAAGATGTCAAGAATATGAAAGCAATCAAAATCAGAAGGATATTTCCTCGGTTGTATTGGTTTTAGTTCTTATCTGAACGAAAAATTCCATATCTGTCCATTTCCGGAGTTAAATATATCTCAGCTCGTAAATATATACAATACATTTGACTAGGAAAAAGAATGCATCATTCTCAATCTAGTATTTCCAGCAAATAGATATTATTTCTAGAGAGGTGTGCACTGCTTTTCAAATAAGTTCCCAGATTCTGTTGCTTCGCACAATATCTTAAAAAGTAATAGTTTAAAACTTTGAGATGCCAACAGGTCGTAATCCTGGAACACTTTTATAAATGGAATGAAAGGACATGTGATACCTTATTTTATTCCCCATTTCCCGTTCTTTCTTACACTAGACTACATTAATTATATTTGAAAATAGCGTACTGATGGGCTCAAAGTTGAGTATTTTTGTACGTTAAATCACAACTCAACATTCAATATTTAAAATACTATAATACTATAATTTGTTATATCTAATTTTCGATTTTGGGAATATCTATTCTGAATCTGCAATAAAATATGGGACATTTGTTTCCAAAAAACTAACAGATTTCGTAACATACTACCGCGTTTTTTCATGACTGGCTGTTGGACTATCAGCGATTAAACGTACAAAAGTAATAAGCTTTGACTGCCTACCAGCCTGCCATTTTAAAAGATAGCGATTTTATTTCTACAAAGTACTCTTAAGAACGTTGAAAATATTTCAAGATGGCGCCCAACTGCCATCTTGAAATTAGCAACTGCTACGTTTAGGCTTTATTACGTGAATTTTGCCATCCAGAATGTCTGCCTGCCAACTTCTAAAAATAAATAGAGAATGACATTTTAAGAACACTGTGTATCTATTCGGCCTTTAATAAGAATATTGGGCAGTCTTGGCATACTCTGGTATTCAGGCTTACCCATGCTGCTGCTCCAGCTCATAGAAACTATTTCTTCCTGAGGTTCAAGCATATAGGTAGTTACTAGATTATTTTATCTATTACTAGCTTAAGCTTGTGGCCTCAGTCGCATGAAGTATCATTGATTTTAAGACATTATGGTAATCAACGTTATTTGTTGTATTATTTGTAGCATAAATACATAGATCTTTCGGCAGCTTTTCCCATGGCCCGAAAGATTAGGTTTGTGTTATCCAGGCATTTCAAGTAATAATTAATAACACAAATTATGACAAATCCAAGCAGATAACTACCGACCAATCTAACTATAGCACGCAAAGCACAGAATTGACTTATTAACAATTTATTTATAGACTGGACCTGTAGTAAAACAAGCAAATCAGTAAATCAAAACCAATTTCATATTCATCGATCGTGACTTTTGAAGACAACAGAGCACGTTAACAACTAACACTACTTTAAGCCTAAAAGCAAACAAAAAACAACAACTTCACCAGAATACAATTACAATAGAACACAGCTATTCTAACGCTATGTATTCTTAGCATTATACTTGAAGTGAAGTGACCAAACAAATCTGAGTCAAGACGGTTTCGCTTAGAAAACGAATGTCAAAGTGATGTAAATCCACGATATAAATACGAATTTCAGACCAGCGACAAAGCGTTTTCGCGCCAGACACACACCAAATTTCGTTAAACCGTGAAATAGATATTATTTTTCGAGATAGGTAGCCTATGTACTCCAGACTTTAATCGCTCTCTCTACCGAAATTCATCTAGACGCGTTCAGCAATTTTGGCGTGTTTGAGTAACAAACATCCACAACTTTTCATTCATAATATTAGCAGGGATGCATACAGGTAATCTAGTCACTAAATTCAATGAAACTACGAGCCCCTTTCCACTTCAGTTGGCCCACTTCAAGATTTGTACCAAAATATGCCTTTATAAACAAAACATGACGAAACTATTTACTACTAAAACAATTTATTTTCTCAAAAACATTTTAGATACACAGTAGTCGTAAAAAATACATATTTGAAATCACTTAGACCTATAACTAATAGAACATCTGAACAAATAAACGATGTGCGAATAAATGCGCCAAGTTAACAAAGCAACAATTGAAAGATTACCATTGGGTAACATCACCTTTATTTTTATTACGGCTGAAATTCTTTGGGGCATAGTGTTAACCAGGTTTTGGCAAAAATTTGGTGTAAAACAATCCCATATTTCTTGAAGCTTTTGTTTCAGTTCGGCGATTGTACGAGCAGGATGTTGTCGTAGAACATTTTTCATCTTTTGCCACAAAGTTTCAATAGCTGACAGATCTGGACTGCTAGAAACCCATTTCAAAAGTCGTACATTATTTTCTTCCATCCATTTTATAGCCTCTTTTCAGGTATGGTTCGCTGCACCATCTTGCTGAAACACAAAATCTTGGCCGGATGTCAAACATTCTTCCATCAATGGTAAAAGCGATTCTTCTAACATTGCCAAATATTTGTTTGTATCCACATTTCCATCAATAAAATGAAGTTTTCTCACTCCTTTTGATGACATACTGCCCCAGACCATAATGGATGCTGGAAATTTCACTTTTCTCTTCAGACAGTCAACATGGAATGCTTCATTTTTTTCCGAATAACTCTACTGAGACTGTCACCAACACAAACTTCGAATCGGGCCTCATCACTCCATTGTATTGCACACCATTGTTGAGGTGCCATTGTCTATGTTCTTTAGTCCATCTAAGCCGATTTTTCTTTTGCAGTGGAGTTAATAGTGGCTTTTCTTTGACCTATAAACAAGTTGTGCAACTTTAGGGTTTTTACTTCACCTTTTTTATAAGTAAACTTACCTTGCAAGTGCTAAGTCCCAGTTTGTGGGCCTCTCTATGAGTTGTGGACCTCGAAATTCTCCTTCCAACAGCGTCACTTTACAGAGCACTTAATTGTAAATAATTGGCACGCTTGTTCTTCACGATTATTCTTCTTAATGCTCTTCGGTCGGCGTTTGTGATATTACTTTTTTTCACATATCGTGGCTTAATATTAACTGAACCAGTTACCTTATATCTTCTAACAATATTTCTTACACTGTACCGCGATAAGTCTAACAAAGTTGCAATTTCTGAGTTTGAGTTCCCAGAATTAAAAAATTTAATTATCAGTAACCGAATTTTCTCACTAATAGCATCCCTACCCATTTTGGAAACCTTAACTACCCAAAACTATTTTAAACGTATTCTGACAGCTGTGATTAATAAAAAGAATTGTCACGTCTTTTATTTTTCACAGCCACCTATGCATTATAGACTTATTTTGCATTGAAATCAAAATAGGTTGATGTGTTGTAATTGCAACATGTGTCATTTTTATGCTGCACATTTGATTAGGGAGTGATAAAGTTGGTGTTTTCTACTATATATTATCAAAATATTCATTGTTAATATTTTAAACCTATAACACCCTGCTACATTTTTATTATTTGTGTTTGATAAGAAAAAAACTAAGATTTCAATAGTTGGGCCAACTGAAGTGGGAAGGGGCTCGTATATGCAGATACCGATTCTCGAATATTTACACTGAATCAATGTTTGTACAACGTGTCCTATGGGTAGGGTACACAGCCCCGGGTCCATAAAACAAAGCTGGCTCGTTGCTTGTGTTTTATATCGTCATTCCTTTTATCGAATACTCTGTTTCAGTAGAGTAGGGTTGGACGACGTTTTTTCCTTTTTTTTTTTTTTTGACGGCGCTTTTTGCGTCAGCTCTTTCTGCGATTTCAGCGAAAATTGCCGGGCTTGCTTTAAATTCGACGACGACGGATCTCCGCTTGTAGGTACCCTGGCAAAAATAGATTTTATTCAGCTGGCGGAGTTCTCAAAAAATATAAGGGTTGGTCTAGTAGACCGTTACTTATACGCTGGTAATAAGGAGTTATTATCGCCCAACTGCCTCATAAGGAGCGAGAGTGTTTGTGTGAGGACAAGAGTGATTCTACTTCTCCAAGACTCTCGAGAGGTTTTTATACGTGATGTATTGTTAGATTCGTCTTAGCAGGGCGAGTTATACAATATCGATGCATTTTTGCCAAAGTAACGTAAGTGACATTTTTGGTGAAAATCATGTTTTTCCATTAACGTAAGGCTTTATTGTTGTAGTATTGCCAAGGTGTAGGAAGCCTAGATTTTACTTTAAACCTTCGCTTTTAACTTTTTTTGAAAACGTATGTCCAGAATTTTTTAAATCGTATCCGTAAAAGAAACGTAACTTTAACACTATTTCCATCATAGTAATTCAAGCTAAGGTTTTTTACCGCCGTAATAACGTAAGTCCCTGTCGGTTTCTGCGACTTACGTCAGATTTTCGCAGTCAGTGTTTGGCTTACGACAGTGTTAGGTTCGTGCTACCATCGACTAATTATTGATTTTAGGTAAGTAAACAACATTTTTTTATAGTTAGAATTCAAAAATATTACAATCTTAACTCATATTATGTAGGTACATATACTAAGTGACATATAAATCCGAACACCCAGTTTAAATGGTTTTACTTTAATAAAATTTTGTATAAGTATTTAATGAAGCATAATAAGTAAATGATAAAAAATTCAAAATGATTGCACTGCTTTAAAGCCCTTTGACCTTTAATAATGTGTCGATACACCCTGATGTGCTACGCACTCTCCAACGCGCCTAGGCATGCTTCTGATCAGGTGGTCAATGTCCTCCTGTGGTATCTCATTCCAGGAAACCACCAACTCCTCTCGAAGTGCTTCTAGAGTCTGAGGAGGACGTTGCAAATTGAGCAATCTCCTACCCATCATATCCCACACGTGCTCAATTGGGGATAAGTCGGGAGATCTTGGTGGCCATGGTAACAATGTGACATCATTATGTTGAAAGAAGTCTATTGTGGCTCTTGCAACATGTGGTCGGGCATTATCTTGTTGGAAACTTGGATCTGCCAGGGTGTCAAGATAGGGTAAAAGATGGGGTTCTAGATCTCCAACAGTGTAGTGAACATGTCTTTCAACAAAAAACTGTGGATTCCTCCTTTCACCACGTCGCCTTCTAACCCTGGCACGACCATCGTGCATGCCTAAACAAAATCGAGACTCGTCACTAAAGACGATACTGTTCCATTCCTGATCGCAGAGTGACCGTTGTCTGCACCACTCAAGGCGATTACGTCGGTGTTCTCGAGTTAAAGGGAGGACCCAGTGTGGCCGGTATAAAAACAAGCCAAAACTTCTCATTCATCGGTAAACACTTCGCATGCCAATAGGTCTTCCGTGTGCTGCAAACCATTCTTGCAATGGACCTGGTAGTGGAGAAACGGTCCCTCAAGGCCAATAATCTTAGGCGGGGATCTAAATGGTCTGTTGTTCTACGGCGGCGTCCAGTGCCCCTTGCTCTTTGCGTACGGCCTTCTCGAAGCCATGCCTGACAACACCTAACCACAGTGTCTACACTTCTTTGCACTGTAACTGCAATTGCCCGAAAAGAAAGTCCAACTTCCCGAAGTCCCACTATGCGGCCCCTATCAAACTCACTAAGTTGACGAAATCGTACAGGTCTCCGTACTCTAGGCATCGTAACCGATCGTAAAGGATGTCAAGAATCAAAATCCGCCAACGTTGATTCTTTACTGCGGCTGAAATATTCATTTTTAGAGCGTTAGTGAATTAAAAAAAAACAGTATAAAAACCGGAATGTCCAACTGATAAGGCTGAAAATTTTTTCACTTGTTATTTACAGTAAGATAAATACATTCACCAACTTTTATTAAAATAAAACCATTTAAACTGGGTGTTCGGATTTATATGTCACTTAGTATACCTATAAAATTCCATTTCATATTTAATTTCGTTCATTTATTACAAATGTTTGTGTGATAACCTCAAGGTCTGTGAGAAATTTGAGGGAATGAATCGGTTGAAGTTAAAAAAACGTTTTTTTGTAGTTACAATTTAAAAATATCAAAACCTTAACTGATATTATGTACCTACCAATAAAACTCCCATTTCATATTTAATTTCGTTTATTTATTAGAAGTTATTCTGTCATAACCTCGAAGCCTGTGAGAAATTTACAGGAATGAATCGGTTGAAGTTAGAGAAAGACTGTTGTATTTGTTTCTATTCTAATTTTTATAGAAGCAATGAAACATTGTAAACATAAATGCTCGGTTACTTTCAGATTATGTCTATGGTCAGTTCACGAACAAAAAGGATTTTGGCGGCTCTTAGCCAAAATGATGAATCGAATAATGTTTATTTTGAGGAAGAAATCGGGTCTATGCCGATATCCATTATTTCAAGTGAGAATATTTTTGATCTAGATAATTCCGACAATATTTTAAAAACTACTTTAGTAAATGAAGACGTAATCGAAATAGATCAATCAATTTTATTGTCTTCTAACAATTCGAGTCCTTATGAAAATGATGGTAACCATTCTATGCAAGAAGAAATAAATGTAAAAATAAGTACTGGTAGCTCAAATGGAACAGTGGGTGTTCAATTTGAACAGGAATGCGATGTACAAGAATATTTTCGGCCGTTAGTTAATTACATGTCATACCTGCCAGGTTTCACGATGAATTCTTTAAATTAAAATGTAAGTCTTCTCTTCCAGATGAGTTAGCAGAAACTGATGCAGAGGATGTCAATGAAGATGAAAGCTCCAAAACTTAAAAAAATATATATTTTTTACTAGTAAGAATTACATATTTTCTTTTGTAACGTTATTTTGTGTTTTTTTTAATAATAAACGATAGTTTTTATTCTTTCCAAAATACTTTAAGTGTTACAATTTGCCGCCAAACTGACGTATCTGTGTACTTACGTTACATGTTTGACCAAGACTTCGAGATTTCTGAACCCGTGAAGTAACGTAAGTATCAATTAACCACTATAACTATAGAAAAACTTCAAAAATCATTTTTCTTAATTAAATATAGACCTCAGAGAAACAGCCTGGTAAATTTTGCAAAATTTAAAAAAGTCTAACCAGGTTAAATTAAAAACACGTTCTTTCTCCGAAATCGTTTTTGGTGACGGTACTTTGGCAAATACGTATCGATATTATATAAAAATGGCGGATTTTATTAAAAAATTTAAGATTTTTTGATGGTTTTTGACACGAGGCATGTCTCTAGATTTGTGCCACTGCATATATTAAAATCTTATAAAAAATCAAAATAGCTGATTTAAAATGCAAAGTTCAACATTGGGATTGCTATTTCACATGCTAAAGCGCAAACGGCTTCATCGATTTTGACATTTGAGGTCTCAGTCCGGGCAATATCTTTGCATCCTATGGGCGAATATACCGTTTTGGATTTTCTGCATGATTTTATTCAAGAAGGGCGCAATGTAAGGAATCAGTATGTCGCAAGGCCAAATTTGCGTCGAAACCTTTCAAACAGATTTAAATCTCTTTTTAGTCCGGTCTAGGTGTTCTGAAGCTGTATGGGCATTCTCTACAATATCTTTTCTCTAAAGCTGCATACAGGGTGTTTCAGTTTATTGTTGCATAACTTTAAGGTTCGATAGAACTTTTAAAATTAATGCATAAAGTCTATATAAACATGGGTCGAAAAATGCGTAGCTTCCGAAGTACAGGGTGTTTAAATTTACTTTCTAAAATAGTTTTTTTTAAATATTTCGAACAATATTTGATGTATAACAGTGAAAATTGGTATACAAGGGTTTTTTGTACGACAAAACGAACCATGGGCATAGTTTTACTGTAGCCGCTAGAGGGCGCTCTCTACTGTACCTGTAGTGTATTAAAATGAACGAAAAATTTTTCTTAGTGCATTTTTTTGCTTTTTGAATAAAAAAACTGATTCTTCGCACTTTTCAACATAATAAAGCTCTCCTGTGAGTTTTCGTTATATTTAGATATTTCGATTTTTAAGGTTCGATGCATTTTTAATTATTTATGGGAGAATAATATTTTTTTTACATTTTCGATTTGGGCATTACAAGTAATTAAGATGATCGTTTAGATTGCGTTTTTAAACAATAATTCCTAACTCCAAATAAACACAAAAAACAGAATATTAATTTGTTTAATTTTCCAATATTATTTTTAACAAATTAAATTAATTATTTACAACTAAAATGCTATTGGATAGTTAGGAAAAACATACAAAATCTAAAGTAGTTGCTCGAAATGTAAACCCAATTGTTCAATACACAATTCACATCTACGAATGATCGAACGTGGTATAGCATTATTCAAATAAGGCCTTATTTCATCACATGCATTCCTGATTCTGTCTATTAGCATATCTCTTGTGGTTACGGGAGTCTGGTACACTTTTTCTTGTAGAAATCCCCACACAAAGAAATCTAATGGATTTAGGTCAGGGGATCGTCGAGGTCAGGCGACTGGTCCTCCACGGCCGATCCATCTTTCTGGATAATTTTCGTCCAGCCGGTTTCTAACTATTCTCGAGTAATGAGCTCGACAACCATCAAGCTGGTACCAGGCCAATCTTCTTAAATCTAACATAACATCATCCCACATATTTGCATGTTCAGCCTTTAAAAATTCCAAGAAGGTCGCAGCATTTAACCTTACAGGCAAAAGGTAGGGTCCAAATAGTCGATTACGGTAGATACCAATTCACACGTTCACACTAAATTCATGCTGAAAATTTCTGCATGTGAATTTTCATGCGACCAAATATGTTGATTATGAAAATTTACCACTCCACTTCTAGTGAAGCATGACTCATCGGTCCATAAAATGTTACTTAAAAACTCCCTATTATTATCAGTTCTATTAAGAATCCACTGACAAAATGTGATCCTTCGTTCTCCGTCCCCTGGCTGTAGTCCTTGCACAGATTGCAAATGGTAAGGATGTCTATGGTCATTTCTAAGAACATGGTGAACATGGCTTGCTGAAATTCCCAAGGCACCAGAAACTTTCCTAACACTTGTGGTCGGATCTCTATCAAACTCACGCAGAATCATACGGGTAAATCTGCGCTGACGAACATTTATGTTTTAATCCCTTTGGAGATTTCCAAAGCCATTT